ACTCACCTGACCTGCAACCACACACACACACACACACACACACACACACATACACTCACATATACAGAGGCTCAGAAGGCCTAGCTTTCCAGCAAAAGAACCAGGCATTTAAGGGACAAACCACTCAGGTTATCCCAGGTTAAATCCCAGCATCCTAACTGTCTGACCTTGGACAAGTCCATTAACTCTCTGGCCCTCAGCTGCCTCATCTGTAAAATGAGGATTAAATAAGCCAACAGGTGTAAAGTTCTCATAACAGTACCTGGCATGTGGTAAGCACTACATGAAAGCCAGTTTGCGTTAGTGTCAACTAACATTAATTATTATGATCAGATTTTGCAGAGCAGGAGGGAAGTCATGGGAGGGGGGCAGATGTGGCGAGAACCTGGAGAAGAGTGCTCTCTGGGAGAGAACACACCTGGGCCCCAGCATCGCCCCAGACTCCCTGTGTGACCCTGAACAAGTCCCTCCATCCCTGCAGCTCGGGCTCCTCATCTGTGAAATGGACCATCAGCGTGGAGAGGACCCGACTCTGCGAGCACACGGCTGGATCCACAGGTGCCCCTGTGAGGATGGGGCTGGGAGGTTCGGGGACAGGCCACAGAGCTGCCACCACCAAACCCTCTGGACCCAAGAGAGAACATCAGTGCTTGAGAGGCAGTGAGTCCATGAAAACTGTTCTGCCAAGCCAGCCCACTCGGCCTCCTTACAAACATTTTTATACGCATAGCCAGAAAGTCCTCGGTGTGGCCACCAAGCCCTGGAAGTAAAATCACGAGGCCAATAAAACACAAAGATACAACCTCTCTGGGGCCCTTGGTCCTCATAAAAGAAGCAGAAATAAAGGTCTGATGCCTCTGGGAAGAGGCACGGGCAACCCACCTGCCACTGTACGTGGACACACAGGCACAGGTGCACACACGTGTACACGCCTCCACGCCCACACTCACCCACCAGTGCGCAGGCGTGCACACACATGACACATGCACACCCTCACAACAGCACCCACCTGTGCAGGCATTTCCTTACCCTCAACCAGACGTGCACTCAGGTTTACGCGTGCACACCCAGGCCCGCCTCCTGGAAGCCAGATTTGGAGCAGAGGTGACCCAGGAACCCCAAGCCTTGGGGACTGTGGGATGAGCATTAGAGAGGGCTGCCTGCACGTGTGCTTCTACGATGCAGCACAACAGAGAGGTACGGAGCACGGGCTCTGCCCCTCGTGAGATGTGAGACCTAAGTGGCTTATCATCTCTAAGCCTCAGTTTCCACATCTGTCAAGTGGACTGAGAATGTCAGCCTCTTCCTCACAAGGTTGAGGGGGGAGATTTCTCAGTTAATACATGACAAGTGCTTGGCCCAGTGCTGGCACACTGTATCTGCTCGATAAAGATCAGCCATTCACTAGCAGCAGTAATTACAGTATTTTCTGCAGACGTTAGTTTGGAAGCTGTGGCCTGAGTTGCTCAGCCCGAACCTTCAAGGATGGTCACAGGTAGCAACTGAACAGGCACCATCACTGGGAAGCAGAGGAAACCGGGGAGGTAGTGCCCACTGCCAAAGGCTTGCTCAGTGGAGGGGGTACCGTGGGCTCCCTGCCATGTCCATCAGTCTCACCAGCTGCCACTTGGCTGGAGCACTCCAAGGGGACAGTATATGCAAGACAGGAATGTCACCAGCCGCCATGACACACAGCCCCCTTGCCCACCGTCCCTCTGCCAACGCCCAGAAGGGATCAGAGACCTGGCCTTCCAGGTTCTTTAACCTGCTGATAGTGCAGGGAACCTGCAAAGCTCAGCCACACGCCCTGGACTTAAGAATTTTCCTGCAGCCATGCCCGCCAAGGCCCCCCATGCTGGGACAGTTCATAGGACTGAGCTCCTGCTCCGTTTCCCCATCCCAGCTCCTAGGACGAGAGCCCTGTCCTAATCTCCAGGCTATTTGAAGAGACCTGCACACCGGTTCTCTCTTGGCGGCCACTCTCCTTGGTGGTACAGGGTAGGCGGGGGTGGGGGGAGGTGGCCACGCCCTGTGCTCCTGTGGGAGCATCTCCTCCAGTATCCATTCTCCTGTGGATAATGATAAAACCCCTGCCTTTCAGCTGAGCATATGGTTGCCAAGATAAAGACCTCATTTCCCAGCTTCCCTTGCAGGTGTGATCAAGTTCTGGCCAACGCGATACAAGCAAGTGTCACGGGGCAAATTCTGAGAACCTAAGAGTTGACATGCAAGCTTTGCCCTTTTTTCTTTGCCTTGCCTCCATCCTGTTGCCTGGAATGCAGATGTGACAGCTGGAGATCTAGCCACCATCTTAGATCATGAGGACAAAGGACATAGGGATGATGGAAAGGGGCCCCAGGGGTTGGGTTCTTGAGAACCTCATATAGCAGAGCCACCCTGATTTCAAACATTCACAAAAGCAATAAAATACACTCCTCCATTGAAGCCAGTTATTTGAGGTCACCATTATTTGCAGCTAAACCTAAATCTGACTGCCCCACCCCCTACCCAAGCCCCGCTCCTGGTCATCCTGTCTGAGGATCACAGGGCAATGATTCCTCTCTGAATGGCAGTTTCCATTCAGGCTGGACCTCCCCACACCTGTGAGATGACAGAGACAGAACATCTGGCTTCCTTCCCCTAAGGCCAAATCCTACACCATAGGCCCCCCACATTGGTCTTGCCTTGACCCCACTTCCGTACATCCATCCTGCCTCCCCCAAAGTCCCAACATGCACTGGAATAACGGAAGTGTAATAACCCTCAGGGCCATCCCCACTGGTGTGGGGGGGAAGGAGGGCAAGGTGATCTCCCTCCACCTGCCTCTCCCACTGCACTGATTTGCAACTTTGCAACAGGATTCTGGCCCTCTGGGTGCCATCGCCCAGGGATGCTGAAAGACAGGCTCTCCCAGGGCTGCCAGAAGCCACCTGGGCAGGGAAGTGTCCCCGGAGACACCTGAGTTGGGGCCACACCTACCTTTCTCTGATGCTGGGGCCAGATCAATGAAGCTGCGACATTTTTCACCTTTAAAAAAAAAAGAAAGAAAGAAAGAAAGGTTTTCAGAATATGAAAGGAAATGAGAGCTTTCAGGTTTTCACCTCGCCCCCTCCCACGAGCCCTGTGTGGAACGGAGCAAGACCCAGCACCTACGCAACTCTAACCCCGAGCTGCATCCTTCTCTAACCCTCATTCCCAGAAAGCCAACGTCCTGAGGAACGTGGATGCCGAACCTGAAAACTCAGCTGCACGGCAACCCGTGATGCCGCCTCCTGTCTCACCTCCCAGTCCAATCACCCAGTCCTGTCCCTCCCACCCCCTCAAAGCCCTCTGTCCCTTTCCACGGCCTCCACCCAATCCAGGCCCAGCAGGACGGAGGCAGTAACCATCACTGGGCTCCCCAGGCCTCCACTCTGGTCTCTGTCCAATCCACTCTCCACACTGCAGACGGAGATTTTCAAAACACACGGCTCTGATCACATCAAACAAACTCACACACGTACACACACAAGTGCGCACACTCCTGCTCAAAACCCTTCATCCCAAAGAATAAAGCCCAAATTCCTTTGTGCAGACGCAGGACTAGCCTCCACCGGCCTCTCCATCCACAACTGCTTCCCGCACCTCTTCCTGTCCCCTCCTCTCAGCTCCTATAGTCCTTGTGTTCCCTCCCACCCCAAGGTTCCCTCACTGGGAACACACTTCCTCCCTAAGATAAGCTCTCACGGCATCTTGGCCTCCTCCTGTGGGGCACCAGTCACCTTCTGATGTTATCACTTTGTGTGTGATTCTAGGATAGACAGCCCACAAGCGGAAAGCCCCACGAGGGCAGGTGTCACATCTTCAATTTATCTCCAGCTCAGAAAATGGTACCTCGGTCCTCCCAGGCGCTCTGGCTAGAAACTTGGCGCCATCCTTGGTTTCTCTCTTTCTCTCATACCTCTTCATCGGAGCTGTGGCTCCACTTCCTAATACATCTAGAATCCAACCACTTCTCACCACCTCCCCTGGTCCCAGCCTGCCTCCATCATCTCCCTCCTGGATTATCGCAGTAGCCTCTGCGTAGGTCTCCCTGTTTCTGCCCTTATCCACACAGACACCAGAAGGGTCCTGTTAGAGCCTGAAATAGATGATGTCCCTTCTCTGCTCAGAACTTGGCCATGGTTCCCAATTCACTCAGAGTCAGAACCTAAGTCCTCACCATGGCCTGCAAGGTCCTGTGTGACCTGTCCCCCCATCACCTCCCTGATCTCATCTCCTACTAGCTTCCCCTTGATCACTCCACTCTAGCCACACTGGCCTCCTTGCCAGCCACACTCCTGCCTCAGGGCCTTTGCACATGCTGCCACTTCTTCCTGGAACACTCTTCCCCCATATAGCTAAATGGTTTACCCTTCCTCTCCTTGATCACCTTCCCCAAATGCTACCTTCTCAGGGAGGCCTTTCCTAATTAATCTATTTAATATTCCACATATCCCTTCCCTGATTCTCCCCTTCTCTCTTCCCACTGGGGCCTTAGCACCTAGAACAGTGCCTGGTACATAATGAGTGCTCAATAAGTATTTGTTGAAGGAGTATATGAATGAATAAATGAATGAATTAGTGAATGAATGCCTCCCACCCAAACCTTATGCCTTCAATTCTTCAGTCCTCCCTCCCAGCCTCCTTGATACCAGGCACTGCACTGGCCATCAAGGACACAGTGAAAGCAAGACATAACCCAGCCTCCAGGTCCTTTCTCAGACAGGACACATGCTCTATAGTTTGCCATAGTCTCCACCATTCCCTGCTGCTTTACCCCTAGCCTCACTTAAACCTCACTGGTCCCTGAGACACTAGCTGACCTTTAGGGTGAGCTGACAACTCCTGGTTCAAGGATTTACTGCTGATTCCAGCAAGGAGTTAGATTTTGGTTCAAAATGAAACCAATGTGGTCTGGGGAGGTGAAAAGGATCTGGAAGCTTCTAGCATTCTCAACTCTTGTGTCTGCTTGAAGCTTTCTAAGTTCTTTTCTAAGAAGGTCCCTTGAAGCCCCTTTGGGCTCCTGAACTTCCTTTCAGCCCCATATAAATGCAAAGACAGGTATCGGAGGTGGGGAGGAGGGGATGAGGCTGAGAAGGAGGGTGGTAGCCAGATCACGAAGGCTCTTAACTGCTGAGCTAAGGAATAGATCCTCTCTTATTTATGTCACACTTTCCAAAGATTCACGAGGCCACAGGTGGGTGGATGCCACTCCCGTGGATCCATCATGCTGCTTCCTCCCCAGGCTTCTACACAAGATACAGGACCCTCTACTCCCTTTACAGAAAATAAGGTTCAGGGCCGCTGAGTGACCAGCCAGGGCCACACAGCAAGTCAGTGGTACTGACACTACAACCTGCTGAAAGACGTTTGCTGATAGCCAAGAACTGGTAGGGAGGGTTTTGAAAAATGAGAATAGGCAGTGTGCTAAGAATGGATGGATTTTGAATGCACTGTCTTAAACTTTCTTTATGTAATATGGTTTTCTCGAAGCTAGACAGGGACAATTTTAATGGCAAAATTCAGACCAATACCCAGGACCCTATTAAGGTTTCGGTGGGCTCCAGGTGCTTCTGCCTTTTGGGCCTCTTCCTAAATAAAAAATAAAATGAAAAATTGTATTTTATAACCACATTGGTAAAAGATGAATATATTAACGTTATATGTTAAATTTTTCTTTACCTAAGAGGTTTTTTTCTTCTGACTCTAAAAGAAATTAAAACATCTTTATGGGCCTGTGAAAGCACTGTGGACCCTTGGCTGTGTGCCATCTGGACCTGAGGGAGACGTCAGCCCTATGACACCAGGTCTCCTGGCTCCCACATCAATGTTTTCCCACCATCAACTGGGCCCCTTGATAATATTTAAGATTTATGTGCTAGGCTTTTTGCCTTTTCTTTAACAGTTTTATTGTGATATATGCCATACAATTCACCCATTTAAAGTATGCAAGTCAAAGGTTTTTAGTTTATTCCTAGTGTATTCACAAGGCTGTGCAACCACACCCAATTTTAGAACACATTCATCATCTCAAAAAAGAAACCCCATACCTACTAGTAGTCCCCACTTCCCCCAATGCCCCCAGCACTGAGCAACCACTAATTTATTTTCCTTCTCTATAGAGTTGCTTATTCTGGACATTTCACCTAAATGGAATTATACACTGTATAGCCTCTTGCATCTGGCTTCTTTCACTGAGCACCATGTTTTCAAAGTTCACCCATGTTGTAGCCTGTGTCAGTAATTCATTCCTTTTTCGGTGGAGAATAATATTCCATTGTATGGATAGATCACATTTTCTTTATCCATTCATCAGTTGATGGACATTTGAGTTTATTTCCAATTTTGGCTATTTATGAACATTCATATATGAGTTTTTGTGTGGACAAGTTTCCATTTCTTTCCAGTATATACCGAGGAATAGAAATGCTGGGTCATATGGTAGCTCTATGTTTAATCTTTTGAGAACTGTTAGACTGTTTTCCAAAGGAGGTGCCTCATTTTACATCCCTACCAGCAATGTATGAGGTCCCAATTTCTCCACAACTTTGTCAACACTTGTTTATTGTTGGGCTTTTTAAAAAATTATTATTATAGGCAACCTTGCGGGTGAGACGTGGTATCTCATTGTGGTTTTGAGGTGCATTTCCTTAATGACTAATGATGTTGAACATCTTTTCATGTGCTTATCAGCTGTTTGCATATCATCTTTGGAGAAATGTCTATTCAGATCCTTTGCCCCTTTTGAATTGGATTATTTCTCTTTTATCATTTAGTTGTTAAGAGTTCTTTATATACAGTCAGCCCTCTGTAACCATGGGTCCTACAACTACAGATTCAACCAACCACAGAATGAAACTATGTTTTAAAAAATCCAGAAACTTCCAAAAAGCAAAACTTGAATTTGCTGCACACCGACAAGGATACATAGCATTTACATTGTATTAGGTTTTATAAGTAATCTAGAAATGATTTAAAGTATACCAGAGAATGTGCATAGGTCATGTGCAAATGCTATACCATTTTATGTAAAGGACTTGAGCATCTGAAGATTTTTGGTATGCACTAGGGGTCCTGGAAGCAATTCCCATAGATTCTGAGGGATGACTATATTCTGCATACAAGGACTTCATCAGATAGAGGATTTGCAAATACAGTCCACCCTCAGTATCCATAGGGTATTGGTTCCAGGATTCCTCCTGAATACCAAAGTCTGTGAATGATCAAGTCCCTTATACACAATGGCATGGTACAGCCAGCCCTCCACATCCATAGGCTGTGCATTTGCAGATACAGAGAGCCAACTGTACTTCCCTCCCATTCTGTGGATAGTCTTTCCACTTTCCTGTTGATGTCCTTGGGAATGCAAGAGTTTTAAACTTTAATGACGTCCAATTTATCTAACTATTGTTTTGTTGCTTATACTTTCATGTCATATCTAAGAAGTCTTTGCCTAACCCAAGACCATGAAGAATTACTCTTACTCTTTCTTCTAAGAGTTTTATAATTTTAACTCTGACCTTTAGGTCTGTTATCCATTTAAAGTTGATTTATGTGTATGGTATATAAAAGGGGACTAACTTCGTTCTTCTTCATGTGGACATCCAATTGTCCCAGCCCCATTTGTTGAAAGGCTATTCTTTCTCCATTGGATTGTCTTGGCACCCTTGTCAAAAATCAGTTGACTGTAAATGTGAAGGTTTATTTTGTACTCTCAGTTCTATTTCATTGATCTATGTATCTACCCTTATACCAGTACCACACTGTTTTGGTTACTGTAGCTTTGTAGTAAGTTTTGAAATTGGGAGGTGTGAGTCTTCCAACTTTGCTTTTCATTTTTAAAAATATTTTGGCTATTCTCAATCCCTTGCATTCCTATATGAATTTTAGGATCAACTTGTCATTTCTGTTAAAAAAAAAACATTTGGAATTCTGATAGAGGTTGCACTGAATCTGTAGATCAATTTGGCAAACATTGCCATCATAACAATATTAAGTCTTCTAAC